TTATAATGATGAACAGTCACTGGTTATTGAAAAGTCAGCCATTTTGTTTTGGAAGAATTTTTCCTTAGGTAATGGTGACATCTATAATAATGATTATCCCGTTTGACTGAATCCACTTCCTAAATTTCTAATTTCACAGACCAAATTTCTAGAGATGAAATATTAGTATTTTCAATGATTCTGGTTTTGATTGTTTGTTTGTTTGTTTGTTTGTTTTTCTGGTGGCATTCACACATATATGGCCAAATCTAATTACTGGCCTATATTTTTGGAATCTCTGTAACAGTAACTCCTATAACCCTGAGTAATTTGATTTAAGTTCACTATCCTTAGGGCAATACAAAAAGTCATTAATAAGATGCCAAAGCTCATCAAGTGAAGAGTATCTTAACTGAAACTTCTGGATTATTCAAATTCTTATAAAAACATGAAAATGTTTAAGAAAACAGAAAAAAAATACCTACATGTTTCACAGAAATCTTGAAGAAAAAGAAAGAGCTTTAGAAATAAAAGTTATTCAGTTTGTCAAAGAGTAGTTTAAAAGGTTGGTTTTATCATGCATTGGAAATAGACTTCTGATAATAGATGTTTCTTCATTCTTTGCAAAATATGAATTGATATCCAACAGCTGCATGTGGTAGCTAACCATGCACAGGCTAGAAATAAGGATTTTTTTTTTTTTTAATATGTTAATTATTCATTGGATGAATACCATACATGATGAATTGGATGAATACTCTGCATGTAGGGTAACTTCTGTCAATTGTTGTCTAAATCAAAAATAATGTGTCACCTCTGAAGGTTTATCTCTCTCTCTATTGACTGAAGAGACTCTAAGTGTCCTAAGTTAGGTAAAATAAATCACAAACTATGACTATCCACTTAAAGAATAAATTTTTCCTCAGTGTTGTATTCAAGATGAAATTTAGGGCCTTACATGCATCATTTACTGGACGCAAAACAGAAAGTAATTTATGGTCTGGGTTTTAGAGGTGTTTGTCATGTTGAAGAATACCTACACAAATTCTAAGACTTAATTCTGTGGGTCTTTTCAAGTGATTAGTACTTCACCAATATGACTAAGTGCTTCATGTTCTGCCCTAAAGTTATTTAAAGCATCTTAGAATTCCACTCCTTATTTTTTCAGTATAATCTATAAGTACATTTTTTGCTGTCCCATGGTGTTCTTTATAACAAAGATCATAATACAAATTCTCATTGGCTAAATAGATACCAATCTGAAGGGCTTAGCAATTTTGTCTAAATTCCAAAGCATTGTGCAAAGGATTTGCAGAGGCTCTAGGGAAAGCCTCTTATCTTGCTCCATTATTGTCAAACTTCAAATTTGCACGATAAAAAATGTAAGCAAAGAAAAATAAAAGCCCCTTTGGTCTCAATGTAAAAGCAACTCTGGTGGAAAAACCGCATAAGAAAAAAATAATCACTCAAAAAAAGGAAGGGAAAAAAGTACTAAGGAAGGAGATTGAATATACATCAAGGCATAAATCTAAGAAGCTGATGGAATTAATATAGCAACAACTATCTTACAATGGCACCACATGCCACAAAGGAAATAAACTATTAACTGTTTTCATTTGGTGTTCAATGAGGAAAAAAATCACTTGTGGCACTGTTTCTAATCAACCTCTAACAAAATCTTCCCTCATCTTTCACTAGTTTGCTGTACAAAGATTGACCTTTTTTGCATTCTGAAACTGATAGTGGACAGAAATTATTTTCAACCCTGACTGGCACTTGGCCACGTTGAAAATTATTTGGGATCAAAGCCTTACTAATTAAAGTAAAATGATTTAGAAGCCATAATGATAATCACTAAGCAACTCCAAAAAGTGGAAACAAAACAGAAAAACTGTAAAACAGAAGCAATAAAGAAAAATAGGATGAGTAGTGGAGACAAGAGCTAATCTGTGTTATCAATGTGCTTCATCCCTTGTTTTCCCCTTTGTTCCTTTTACCTTTCAGGATTCAGCATATTGAGATGCTAAGGAGGAGGTAGAATTGCAAATAGTTCTATATCAGTTATAAGTTTTGGATGTTATTATAAGGGGTTTGGTAGATACAGTACTTGCTTTTCCCCAACCCCTGCTGCTCTTGTGCCTCGAGCCTCCCGCATGTGTGATATCAGGAGTTAGTTCATTCAAGGAATGGAACATAAGTTTATATTCTTTTTTATTTCTTGTTCTTTTACTTTACTCAGTGATAATATGTAAAATGAAGGGACAGATAGATTTATTTCTGGATGTAATTTCATCCAAGAAGAGGGCTCACAGCCCTTGCACTTAAGGTTTTATGAGGGAAAGATTAGAAACATTAGTATCAGAAATGTCAAACAATTCTGAGTTATACTTCTTCAGACGACCAGATGCAGCATGTCTTCAAAGTGTATTGAAATTCATATTTGGACATGTTAGATGGGCCAAATATACAGGAGAGAGTAGAAGGAGAATGAGTTGAGAGAGGTGTTTGTATTTGGGCTGCAAATCTGTATATGAGGGTGAAGCGGGATCCAGAAGTATACAATCAGATTGAGGAACTTAAAAGATAGATGACATTATCTGAGGAACAGGAAAAGTGAATCCTGCAGATGTGATGAGGAAATAAGCACAGCTTATTGCGGAGTAGCAAGGCTGCGGCAGGTTGTATGAAGGAAAATCAGGAGGCAGATTTGAGCAAAGTGACCAACTAAAGCGGAGGCTGTTGCCACTGACAAGGTCATTGACAAGGGCCTAGAGTTGGGGCAGTCTCCTTTTTTGATAAATGGTCTAACTACGGGGAAATTATACAAATGGAAATGATTGCTCTTGTACTCAGGGCAAAACAGAAAACCAAGATTTCCCCACTAGATTATTTCTATTAATATTTTCATGCTAATTTCAGTAAAGCTTGCATTGTGTTGCTGTGTATTTTTAAATAACTATATCTTGCTGAAGACATGGCTGCAGTTCAGTAGTGCCTTAAGGCATTCCTGTGTATTGTATACTGTTTGATCTATATAGAATGCTAAGAAAGTATGTTAAAACACATTTCTATGACAAGTGGTAGACAAAAGAGTAACTTCTCTAATGCAATTAAAGTTTCTTCCAGATTAATGTGCTCTGTGAAAGCAAACCCTGATTTTGTTGGTTTTATCAGATTATTAGTGCTTGGTGCATTATTTAATGATGTTTGTGGTTGAATAATAAAGGCATTAATACATAATTTACTGAAAAGTAAATTTGGTATTTATCAGGTTGTGTTATGAGACAGTGAGGAAGGAAAGCCAATGACTTTTCAACAGTATTTATGTCTAAAAATATTACATGCAGATGTGAAGATCAGCAGTGATGAAATATTTTAAATGCTACTCATCCCATTTTAGTACAGGCTCCTACCATTTCACTGACATCTCAAGTAAAATTGTGACAGGTGGCCATGTAATTCAAAAAACCAGTGGTAGTTCTGAGCCCTGATAATATAGAGCTCATGTCATTTTCCCCTCACAGATTTTCCATTTACACAAATGGTGTAATTGTACCCCTCAAAGTTTTACCTCTGGAAGCTATTTTTATTTTCTACAAGAGCACCGCCAGGCAATAACAGCAGGGGGGCAAATCCTTTATTTTATGTTGTCAAAACCAATATGCTGTGAGTTATTCACATCACTTTCTGAAGTGCCAGTCAACGGCTTTGTGTTTGGAATAGTGCAAACCACTAAGAGACTCAGAAAAAGCAGTTTCTAAACTCTCAGCACCAGAGTGGGTGTTAGTATGGAAAGAAAAGAAAAAAGTAGAAAAAAGCATTAAAAGGATTTTTTTTGTTGTTGCTACAGTTGAAAGTTTTCTAATGAAAGGAGATGAATCAGGGACTTTGTAATAACGTGCCTTACCACTTAGCTGTAGCAGCAGATTGGAATGATGCTTACTCAGCACAGGCTTTGGACCTTTCAGACCTTATGTATCATTTCTCATCTACTGAGCTTCTCACAGTTGTGCAGAATAAATATGGGAACAATATTTTTTAAAAAAATTTAATCTAAATATAATACACATATCCACTCTTGAAAATTTTAGGAAAAAATGTAGCTGATAGTCTGACTCTTTGCCCCAAAATTATTTGTCTTCAGAGCCATCAATTTTAGAGATTGATACTGATTTGTCTGATTTTTTAAAGGAGTTCAACTGAAAGTATAGACAAGAGAAAGAGCAAACATTAAACAATGAACCTGTAAATGTAATATCTTCCAAATTACTTCACTGCTGGCTGGAATGCTGCTGAAACCTGGTATTGATGTTACATTTCATGCAGAGAAGCAATTCTTCAGGTCTTCTGACAATGCAGTGACCTCAAGACAACATTTCTGGAACTACTGAAGTCTTGTAACCATAATAAATGTCTTCAATTTTTATTTTTCTTTAAGGGCTGAAAAAAACCCCTCACCTTGCTTTACTAAAGGGAAATACTGAGAGGTGCTGAAAAAGCTCTTCCAGCTGACTGTTTGCTGAGAAATGTAACCTTCCTAAATCCTACCTTCAGGTTGAAGTTGACAGGAAGATCTGCAGAAAATTTACCATTTTATCTAGGGAGCTGCAGCTCAGTGGAATATAACAGTTTTCTGTATGAATTTACAGCACACCGGTCGTCAGAGATAGATAACTTGGTCGGAGTCCAGCAAGCTCAATTATTCAGTGTGTCTGAAGTACCAGAGGACGACAGGAAAGACAAGCACAGATGCTGCTCTTTAAGTGACTTATGCTGACATAGTTTGCTTTCTTACTTAGAATGTTGAAGCAGGGAGGCGACTTCCAGGTCCCAGCAGCAGGGGTTTTAGAAGGTGGGTTAGCAGAAGAGCTCATGTCTTACAGTTACAGACTATTAGCCTGAGGCTGAAAGATTTTCTTTGGTCAAACTGGCAATAAATGGATACTCATTTGCAAAAGGAGTAGTAAAAAGAAATTGCATTGGTTGAATAGTACATTTTTTTTGTCTATTCTGTGTTGCAGGAATTGGTGGGGCGACTGTGGTATTCTCTGACAAAAATATTTGGTAAGTAGTGTAATGCTGATCCCCTACAAGTATTCGTGTCAGCCTAAACCCTGTTGGGGCCAAGGTCTCCTTGGTTTAGTTGTAAGCCATAAAGATCTGATTTTCTAAAGCAGTCATTAGGATTTGGTTCTTTCTCTGCTATAGAGAGAATAAGAAAAACCTGGATTTAGTATTTTTCTTGTCTACTATGATGCATAAAACAGAATTTTTTTAAAAGCAGTAAAACAAAGGAAGATTAGAAGGAACTACAGAAAAACACCAACTACTTTTGAATGAAATAAAAGAAGCCCAGCTGCATAGATATTGAAATGTTTTTATTTTTTCATGTTTCTAGACTGATGTACACTTGGTAAAAAAAATAATTTTCTCTGGTCATAATTATCTCTGAAAGGAAATGCTGGAATGCTCTAAGCTGAAACTTTTTTGGCAGAAAGTTCAGAAATGATATTTTGAAAATTATTTACAAATTACTGATCAAAATCACCATCCTAGACTTACATCAAATTAGGTCTTCTAGTAAATTTTGTAATCAATAACATTAAGATTAATTTTGAGCTTAAATGTTTATATTAAAAATAGTAGTCTCTTATACGATATTTAAAGGGGTAAAAGAGACATATAGTATGAAACAGCTCAAATCTCCCAATGAATTAAATTTGAGTTGCTCTGAAAATTGAAGTTAAGTATTTTGTTTCTAGGAAAGGATTCATATTGTAGAAAAATAATCAACTCTTTATAGAAAATGTTCTTACTCATCAAATGAAATGTTGAAATTAGGTTGTGCCACATTCAAGAAAACAGTAAAAACAGTGTACCCCCATTGCTGTGACTTAATAAAATTCAGACACACTGGCACCAACAGAATCAATTATAATTTTTCAGGAAGACACTTAGGCAGTGCATTTCAAACCTGTTGGAGACAGTGTTGCTTAAGCGCATGGTTATTTTCTTTTCTACTAGAGATCAGTGCTATGTCCTCATTTATTTTTTGATTATGATTTTTAATATATCCTTGGGGAAAAAATTATAGTTAAAAATAAGTTTTTCTCTTAATGTAAGTGTAGTTCTCACTCAATAGTCATAATTTCTTTGCCATTAATGTTAAAGGACAAGGGTGAGCCAATTTGAAGAAATGGAATTACAGAAGATGAGATCACCAGGTTAGAGAGGAATCATTTGAAGTCATCATACTTGAAGGTGCTGTGGTAATGATAATAATCAGCATGATTTATTTGGGTAAAAATTCTGATATCATCTGTAAATGGTGATGCCTTGACATTTGGTACTTTTACAGCTGGCCTGGAGAGTAAATGCAACTACCAGAAGGAAATCCACATTGTCTTCAGGTTGACTTGCAGTTCTAATTTTACTTCAGATTTTTTATTTATCTTATTAAAATTAAGAATGGTTCTTCAATAAACCCTCAAAAACAATTTACTGAAGAAACAAATTTATATGGATAAATATCTTTCCATCAACTAAGACAGATGGGTACAGTACACCCATTTTACAGTTGCATAAATGAATAAATGAGGCAACTCATTTGAGACATGTTCAAAAGTGGGTGAAATTCTTAATATTGAGTATTCTGAGCTTTTTCAGGAAACCACAAAGCATTTGCTAGACTCAAAATGAAAACCTGTGGAGGCTTGCTTGTGTAATGATTAATTGTAGGGCAAGTACAGGTCTGTATGTTGCCTACAGATACAATGTGTGCTTCTAAATATTTCAGGAATGCTAAAACACATATAGCTTTAATATGGTCATCTGCCATGCAGTGATTTAATGCCAAAGTGTTCCAGCCTTTATTTGAACATGTAATTGCATTGTTCTTCATATACTAGAGTCCTTGCTTATAATAATTGATTGTGATAATACAGTGAATTAACCCTAGTCACTGTTCTATTTAACCATTTTATCTGAATGTCAGGCATGCAGGTAAGTCATCTAGTTAAGTGGAAGTTTGATAACCTAATGTAATATCTTTGACATCAGAGATCAGATAAAATCTTTTATGTGTCATTGGCTCTAAGAATCTGCCTGGGCAGATGGTGTTGGTTCTGTAAGGCAGACATACATTGCCTGGAGAATTTCAGAGAAATATGGGCATTATTTTCAAACTCCAGTAAAGGAGAAAGGTGTCATTTCACTGACAGCCCCAGAGAATATTTCCCTGCTATTGCATGCTTGACAGATGCCATGAACAGATTGATGTGCAGAAAAAGGAAAGGTACAAGGAAACCGTACATTAAAACTCATTAACTTTAGATAGCAAAACTCTGTTGGGAGACACTCCAGAGCATTTTCTGATGTACAGTGTATGTTTAACATTCTAAATATATGTGCTATTTAATGTGTTGGGGCTGCATTTACATATTTAGTGTAAATATGAATGAAAATGAAAACAGTGACAAGATAAACACAAGAGAAAATGCATCAGTAAAATTAATAATTAAGAATCTGAAGGGAAATACAAGACAAATTTTTCACACTCCTAATTTTATATCTACCAAGATCTATAGGTATGGTATTTGGAGCAGATCACTTGAATTCCAGTATTAATTTTCTCAGAGAAAACATTCACTTTTGCTTGTAACATAACTTTTATTTACAAAAAATCTGCTTCTTAGTCCAGCCAAACTCTTACGTATAGCTATAACTTTTAACACTGGAAAAGGGATGTGGAAACTTATTATTATCTGATTTACCTGGTCCCGTGTTGTCTCCTTATCCACATTGACTCCTTACAGATGCAGCAAATTCCTCTATTAAAATTTATGGTTAAATTGATTTTTTTTATCTTAGGTGTAACATGAATTCTGTAAAACAAATTGGATGATGAAGATAGAAGCATTGTATATTTAAGATGGAATTAAAATTGCAATATTACATATACATAGCTATAATGACTTCATTACAATAATTGCTATTCCTGACCATTGAATGGGCATGAATGTGAAGAGGTATTTTTGGAAGATTTAGAAACATCACCAATTCACAAGGGATGGAAGATGTATGTGCATGTGAGTAACACAGGCAAACTTAATTTTGTTAGTTCTTCATTTGAGCACTCAACTTTTCAACCTTAATATTCTTTTAAGGCACATCTCATTGGGAAGTTAATTTATGTAGTTCCTGTTTTGATGTAAACAAATTTGATGGTAATTTTGTACATGAAAACAGATTTTAAAAACTAAACAGCATAGCAGAAAGAAACATTTGTAAGAAATTCTATTTTCAATGCAAATATAACTGTGTTTAGTGAACTGAAATTGGAAAATACAAACAAACAATTACATGTTCTTAATATGTGAATACCTACTTATTCTGTATCTTCATATTAAGTTTGAAAAGGCTTCTTTTAGACAGGTAGAACTCAATTGTTTTGTTAGAAATGTGTAGGTTTTAAATAATTAAAATAGTCATGCATAATTCAAATAATCACTTCCATTAGAAACTTAGTCTGATAAATATCTGATGGAAATGCAGATTGCATACATTTTCCTGATATAAGAATTGTTTTAATTTTGAATTCATGGACTGTTGTATTAATTTGCATAATGATATAGCTGTAATAGTGGGTTATGGTTGATGACTTGGACTATGATTCTACCTGATGCAAAATGACCCATTTCTTACCTAAACTTGAAGGCTGCATAATGGAATTCAAAACTGCAACTACTGTGCAACTATAAAGATTTAAATAAAATATCTTGATATACAGTAACCAATTAAAACTTATTTTTCCTTGCAATAAATGCAAATGCTTGAACAAGGTACCATGAAGGTCTGTGCTACTGGAGACCTACTTCCTGTTTGTGAATAAAATAATGTGTGGCCATCAAATAACAGGGTTTGAATAACTTGTAATTTGCTGAGCAACATTGGCAATATCTGTTATATGTGGTTTGTTTTCTCTCTTTCTCATACGCATATCCTCTCCCCAGGAGAAGTAAATGAACAGACAGGATTAAAAAAAATGCATTTGACAAGACATACTGTTCCATCCTAAATTAAGTCACTATATTTCTGATAGAAAAGACAAGATCCTCCATTTCAAATAATATATTATTGGGTTTAAAAGTGCCCCAGTTGCTGTGGCAGGTCACAGTCTCAAACTGCCATCCTTCCCTCCAAAAGTTGCTTTTCCCACAAGGTAAATCTTTACTCCATGGTTAAGCTTTCTCAGTGCTTAGGGATTAGAACCTCACAGTTTCAGCTACACATAACAGACAGCTTTAGAGTATGATAGAAAAAAAGATTCCATGTTGTTTATGGTTGAAAAAATGCTTAAGAAAGAAACACATATACCTTCTGGTAGTTTTGCATCTCTACCACCTAATGATGGACCTTCTCCAATTTTATCAACCTGCAAGCCTTTTTCCTGCTGACATGCCTTGAATCACCATTCCTACCCTCCTGTTCACCTTGCTTTTAATGTCTCAGATGAAGAAATACCTTTTCCTTCTTCACCCTATAATGAAAATGCTAGAAAAATAAGGTTAATTGTTTTTAAGAGTATGTTTAGTCCTGAATGAGACAAGTGAGGCAGAGGAGAAAAAGAAAAGGAAGATGAGGAAGGGGTTTCTTTCCCAGCTGGGTACTCTAATAGAATTTTATTTAAATGCCTGTGGGGAAATGTCAAGATATAGAGCAGAATTAACAAGGGGGATGAATAGAAGGCTAGGCAGTGAACAAAAAATTTTAGGAAATATTTAGGAGGATTTACATTTCTTTGGTGCATTATTGATAGGGACATCTACTTATTGTGTAAGTCATCATGAGAAAAAATACCCACAAGGTTTTCTCAAGGTTCAAAGGCCATGTAAAAATTCTATCATGACTTTGCAGATCTAAATAGTCTAAATAGAATTGGAAGCATTAATTAATACTGGGTTGTTTAAATGACTAAGGCAAGATTCCAGAGACTTTTGAAACCTCTTCATCCCTCCCTTTTTGAAACTGATTATGTAAACATGAACCAGAGGTGCTGAGCCACTCCATTATCCCTATTTCTTGCCTAGGTGAGTAGATACTAAAATTTTCTTGGAAATTCTGAGAACTACATTAGGTCTTTGGTGCAGTTGTTTTCAGGAAACTCAGGGAAGATAACAAATCTGTAGTGAGCCAGTCTCCTATGGTATTGCTGGACAGAGTGGGAAATAGTTGTGTTCAAAGTAATTTTTTTTTAAGCACAATTACAGTTGTATTTAATGAGGAAACAGAATTGTAAAGCTGTCAGGAAATGCTGTGGCAACAACATTTCTTGAAGGAGCATATTAAATAGTAATGATGTCAAACATCTGAAAGAGTGAGTAGACCTTGCAAGCACAGTTTTCTAGTCATAGGAAATTAAAAAGGAGTTTGGAATGTTGCCAGTTGACTGACTATAGGGAAAAAAAAGACCCATAATAAGCAACAGTTGTAGTTACAATATTTGCTGAAACCAACACACATTAAATAATAATGAAAGCAGCCATTTAAAAATGCTGGCAGCTTATATGGAACAGCTGAGCTGAAGAAACTGTGAAAAGGATAAAAAAACCCCAAACTGGTATGTAGCCAATATACTGTCAAAGAATAAAAAGCTCCATTGGAGATTAAATTGTGAGATAACTTCAGATGAGTATTCAGAAAACAAATAGTTTGAAATAAACAGTGTTAATTCTTAGATTGTGTAAATGAAAATCTTCACAATTAAAGGGATATCTTCAAAGAAGGATTTACTAAGCAGAATACTAACATTTTTTATTTGCTTACGATTTTTTTAATTAAGAAAAAGTGTGGGCAGATATAGTTTTGTACAATAATCTGATATGAAAATATTTTTTAAATTTATGGAAGACATTAAATTTCCTTTAGCCAAGAAGACTTTTTTATTGCTACAACAAAGAACTTAAACCTAATAACCATTGACATTGGGACCTTAGGTCCTCTTGAAAGAAGTAAAAAGGAGCTCCAAGCAACAGGACAGCTGGGGATATTTTAAAAGACAAGCAAAGAAGGTGTTCAATAGGTGCTATGTCTTTTTGTTTGTTATTCTATACAGATATAGCAAATATTGGAATATCATGGACATTGGGAGGGGGAAAGGTCTCATTTTCAATGTTATAAAAAAGCCAGATAAATCAGTTAAATTCATTGGGATGTGATTGATAAGAACACAACT